ACAATGATAATAAAAGAAGGAAACAGGCCTGTGAACAATGAATACATTCAGTACCAATGACATTCTATTGTAGTGAATGTTCAAATGAGGAAGTTATCATACACTAGACCCTAGATGTTATATGGCCCCGAAACTAGCCAGCTCCGTATTGGTGCTCCCTGAGGCATCGTCTCGGGGGGTTCCTTGCGTTCCGTATTCGGGCATCGTTTCAGGGGTCATCACGCTCCGTATTGGGGCTCCCTGAGGCATCGTCTCGTGAGGGTCCTTGCGCTCCGTATTGGGGTATCAACTCGAGGGTCCTCGCGCTCTGCATTAGGGCTCCCTGGGGCATGAGTTTCGTTTGGATTGTTGACTTTCAATCACCGTGTTTATCAGTTATCGCAAGAAGCATTCGGTGAAAACAAATATTCGATCACGAATGTGAAATAATAATGATGATGATGAAGTTTAATAATTGAAAAAAATGTCTACCGTGTTCAGCATTATAGAAAAAAAAATGGTAAAAAAAAAGTGATAAATTATGTTGTCAATGTCATCCGTCTACTAACATCTCACATGCGCTATCATCTTCAGGCACAGGTCCTCGATTTAGGTACAGTTCCTTGATTTTGGACCTCGATTTGAATATAGTCTTTGATTTGGGAGTGGGGTCACAATTTGGGCCCAAGATTTGACTAAATATTTTGTATCGAAACTCAATCCACCCTGCATATAAAATGGTTCAAATTTGGAATAATTGATAAAATTACTCTTCCATTTCATATATTAAGCCATCAAAAATATTTCATAACCTCAATTCGATCCACTCTGTATAAATGTTTAAATTTCGAAAAAATAACTGTCAAAATTATTCCACTATTATTCCAAATTGATTTGATAATGCTTGAAATCCATATGATTTGTATTACGGAAAAATGTGTAAAACTGTGACCAAAAAAGGTGCAAAACTGTTACGAAAAACGCACCAAAAAAAAGGCAAAAAATACCATGCGATAAAACGTTCAGTTTTGTCACTTGAAACGCATTGAAAAAACGTATTTTGTAAACCATCATTTCATGCGAACACTCATATGATTAACATTGTAAGATGTCAAAAAAAAATGTGGAAAACTGTAATGAAAAACGCACCAAAAAAAGTCAAAAAATACCATGCGATAAACGTTCAGTTTTGTCACTTGAATCGTATCGAAAAAACGTATTTTTTAAACCATCATTTCATGCAAAAACCCATATGATTTATATTGTAACACGCTTTGAAAAATATTGCAAAACTGTTACAAAAAACGCACCGAAAAAAGTCAAGAAATACCATGCGATGAAACGTTCAGTGTTGTCACTTGAATCGCATCGAAAAAAAAACGTATTTTTAAAACCATCATTTGATGCAAAAACTCATATGATTTGCATTACAAGATTTCACAAAAAAAGTTGCAAAACTTCATGCGATAAAAAGCTTATTTCTATCACTTTAATCGCATCAAAAAACACATTTTTTCAAGACCCCATTTTTGCGAAAAAAAAACATGATTTACATCGTTAGATGTCACAAAAAAGTTTTAAAAAGTATTACGAAAAACGCACCAAAAAATCGTTATCGCACCAAAAAGTCGTTGAATCGATCAATTGATTGCCACCGCCATCTCAACCGCCTCAGCCGACGCCCCAGCCACTGCAACCATCGCCTCAGCCGCCACTGCAGCTGCCTCCTCCATGAGCCGCCGGTGAAAGTCACTTCGGCCATTTTGAATGCTTTTTCACCGAACGGCTCTTCCTGATCGGCGGCATCCTGATTACATTCATTTGTTCCAGTTTTGGGATGAAGGTGGTATAATTATCCATGTCCCACCTATTCGTTTCATCAATTCCCGTTCCCTTACCAATCTAACTCTAATCTATATTATCTCATTAATGGCTATACAGGGTGGGGAACATTAAAGAAAAAATATATATACAGGGTGTAGAAAATAATAGCGTCGACGTTTAAGAAAAATCTACCGTGGAGAAATACAGGGTGAAAAAATGTTTACCGTGTGCAACATTAAAGAAAAAAATATGGCAATGACGGAAAAAATGTAAAAAGGAAAATGTGCATGTTAGTCAGCATGAATGCTGTCCAAGGGAGTCCACGAGAAGGCATGCACTTTTACAAGCATGTAGATAGCTCAACTCTCTCGGGAGAATGGGAAATTCAATAACAAAATAATGAAAAATTCGTTATCACAAGGAGGAGACACAGATTCTCAAAGTTAATTGAAGGAATGTTTTTTCAACTTGTAAAACATAAACAAGGAGGAGACACACAGATTCCCAAAGTCAATTGGGTGGTGTCTTTCTTACCCATGTCAAAAATATCTGAACAAGCGATTTTACTATTTTGTTATCGAATATAAGGATGGGGTAGATTAGGAGTTATTCATCATCTTTTAAGGAACCAAGAGATCGATTCGAGTTACGTCAGACCCCTATTCACATCATGCGTGCAGGATTCAAATGAACGAGTCTGAGGATAGAACGTTAAGAATGTCACTCTGGCAGTCATGTTGGAATCTGTCCACTCAAAGCCTCCATATGGAAGATATTGGCTCATTGCCCACCCAAACTGATTATTGACATCAAAATACATCAAATAGGATTCATGATTCATGAGCAAACTTGGCTGAGCCCACCTCGTATTCCACGCCCAACAAAGAGGAACATATCAACATCGGTCAGAAGTTCCAGTTTCTGTTTTGTATATTTCAACATTGCGTCCCATGTAAAACCTGGTGAAGTGAAATAATGTGCAGGATCGAGTTTATGAGAGTTAAGGATGCAGGTTCTGAACATTTCAAAGACATCAGCTAGCAGGAGAATATCAGTCTTCATATATAAGTCCACATAATCACCTAGATTCTGACAGTTGAAGGTGGTCCATACATCCTGAGCTCGTTGATAAAAACGTCGGGGGCAGGGCTTATTTTCCAGTTCATTATAAAACTTATCCTGAGATGGTAAAGCTGGTTCATCGAATCGACTAAACGAATCTATATAATAATAAGGTATAACTCCTTTCTTCGTTGAAAGTTTGAAATGTTCCATAGGCACATCGGCAAACTGTGACTTTATATTGGGGAACTCTGGGAGATACGATGCTAGTTTATCTAATGAAGAAGCCATAAAACGAAATGAGTCAATAAATCTGAATCAAATTGGTGTATCGTCAACGTGTTTTGTAAAGGAAATATACTTTTCTTTGCTTATCGGGAGTAGATCAACCTTTCCAGGCATTCTTGTAGCGATGTCTCCAACGATGAAGTGTGCGTCATATCCAAAGTTGTGAAAAACAACAGGAACAGTATGAGAGTCTTTGAAGTTGATGTTGCATCCTTCAAGAGTAGCCCCCGGAAAATTATTTTCAGGTATCAGGTGATTATGATCTCGAACTTCCTTATCTTCGGGTGTGAAGTGCTCTTCGCAGATTTGACAGTGTGTAGCTTTTCGAAACTCAACTTCTTGCTCTGTAGTCATATCGATGTCGAATAGACACCAAAACACTGTAGTCATATCTTCAGCTAGTTGACTCATCTCATCAGCGAACCATTGTATACGATCCTCTCCACGATATGCCCTATAGAAGGATGAAGTGTTTAAGTGTATGAGCATTTTAAGTAGTAACCCACAGCTGCCGGAATATGATGTTGAAGTTTTTTAGGATCATCATTAGGCTTCAGAATGGATTCCAAGTCGGCGTATACGATGAATGGAGCCTTCTCTTTATTTTTATGGTTTTTGAACTTGAGAATGTTTTTACCCTCCTCAGGCATCTTGATGGCTGTTTCATTGATTTTCTGGCAATCCTCGGTATGTTTTTGTAATTCCTCTTGAGATCGAAAGTAATGTAGGCAGCGATCACAAAAGTACTTTTCACCATGTTCCTTACTCAATTGTCGTGAAGCAATCTTGACAAGTTTTTGATCCATACAAAATGGTGTTTAGCAGAATCATCATCATCTTGTATGAGAAGTAGATTGATGTGTTTGTCTTTTTCATCTTTAGTCAGATAATAAGGACATATTTCGAAGGATTTCTTGATTCTTTCGAGAACATAAACATTGATGGAAACATTATTTTGCCTCTCAAATCTGGGGATTTGCCTGATAGTCATAGGGAACTGGATACCGTTCAGCTTCAATACTGTTGAATAGTGGGGATAAGATGAAGTGCGATCAGCATGTTTCTGCGCAGGATACAGAGCAGAAACGACAGGTCAGGTAAAACAAGCTTGGTCATTATTCTTAAGATTGATACATGCATGCTTCTCTCGGATCTGAGGTGTCAACTCAATATATGATGATCCTAGTTGAGGAGTAAACTTGTTGATGTTAACCCCCAGATTAACCACTTTCTTTAACGCCCAACCGGAATCACGTTCTTGAAACTCTTTGAGATCTCTCATTATTGGCTCAATAATTTTATGTTAGAACCATTCATCCAGATTGGTGTCTCTATATATGGGAGAGTTGGTAGAAGTGAAGTACTTGTACTCTTTCAATACTCTGTCTCCCTTCACTATCTCAAATGCTCCGCAGAAGGTGGCATTCACCTTGATAGATTCATCCTTCTTGAGAGCATTCCGAATTTTCCGCTTGAAGAGAGCCTTGCAGTCCATAAAAGTTGAGGGATCCTTATGTTATCATTTTATTGTATTGTATTCTGAAACACCTTGTATGATTTTTGTTTTGACAAACTTCAATGAAACACCTTGTTTACACTTTTTCAAAAGGTCATGCTATATATTTTTCTCTCAAACACTTCAGTGTCACATCCTACACAATTTTCAGTTGAACAATCAAAAATATTGTATGAAAGATTGAACTCTTTGCGTATTTTGAAAAATGTATTGAAACACAACTTTATATGAACAGAATTCAGCAATAGAAATTTTCGAACGAAACAGTGAAACACTACTTTGGTATATATACTTATACCAAAAATGCACATTGAGACACTTGAGGCCGCGAGAACCAGAATGGCCTAACTGACGAATTCACGAAATTGACGTTCTTACAAAAATGTACTGCTTATAGTATTATGTTTGTGTCCAGAGTGGCCTAAAAGTTGTTCACATATTGTATCATAGATGGCAGCATTATATCGATTCCCTGGTTGCGAAAATCGAATTAAATCGTGGTGCCACAGTGACCTATATCACTTAGGCTACTATGGTATTGGTGAAAACAACTCGAATCATAACACCTATTTTGACAGTAGGTAGAAGTTAGGTTAGGTCCATTTTTATGTGTTGTGTTTATTGTTGTTCGAATAATGAATAGTGATAATCTAGTTGAAAACGATGATCACAGTGTGGAACAAAGAATGGCAGGTATGTCAGACAATACAGTTTGTTTTACAAAATAATATTCAACAAAAATAATTATTTGCAATGAAGTGCTCGTTCTTTTTTGTAGATTTGTTCGAAAGTAGTGAGGAGGAACCATTCGAAGACTCTGGTTCTGAGTACTTACCATCGAGAAGCCCTACTCCAGCAATATTGGATCAAAGTGATATTATTGGAGAAGAGAACATACCTCCAAATACAACAGACGAAGCTGAAGTGAGGGAAGGTCCACAGAAGACTAGGAAACGTAAACGAGAACCAGCAAAGTGGAAAAAAAATGTGAGGAAGGCGAAGAGAGCCAGAGGTGAAGCCTATATAAATACTAAGAAAAATGCAGTTCCAGAAAAACAAATTGATACAGATCAACCCTGCCCTTGTGCTCAAAAATGTCATACCAGACTAAGTCCCACACAACAATCTAAGTTATTCAAGGGATTTTATGAACTTGGAAATTTTGATTTACAAACATCCTACCTATTTTCACTGATAAGGGTTGCTCCTAAAAATAGATGTTCACTTCCACATCAGAACATAGCTAGAAGGAAAGAGTCTCGTCGATCAAACACAAGGGTGTATCATGTCCCAAATAATGACGGAATACTAACAAAGGTATGCAAAGAATGTTTTAAGAAATTATTTCAAGTTAGTGATGGCAGGATCAATAGGCTGCTTATGAATAAACTCTCTGTACCTACTCCACCTCAAGACCAAAGAGGAAAACACCAACCAAAAAATAAAACGAGTGATGAGCAAATCCATTATGTAAAGGCATTTATTGAAAAATTTCCCAAGTATGAGTCACATTATACTTTGCATAAAAGCATGGACAGAATGTTCCTGGCTCCAGATTTGAATACTATCTGCCAAAAAATTAAGAAAAAAACAAAGAAAAGGACTTCTCGCATAGCAAAAGGAGTAAGTAGGTATTTTGAGAGTAAATACTAATGAAAACGGAATACACGGTGAATATTTGTAGACAACAAGACATTTTGAAAATTACTGGTACACAGTCTCTGTTGTATTGCCAAATATGATTTTTTCAGATAGGCTACTCTGGGTCTCGCGGCCTCACTTCATTATTGAAAATGAGACACTTATCAAAATCTAAAAATTCACTTACGTATATCGTGCTTAGTCACACACAATCACTCAACAGTTTTGTTCAGGTTCTGTGAACGCTCTGAAGACTCACATCAGACTGGCATATTTATATATTCGTACTATCTATCTATAACCACCACAATGGTTCTGGAAATTTCTATGATATCAAAATCACACAAACAAATATCCTGAGAAATTGAATTATAACGGGAAATAATACCTAGGCAGGAAAACCACTATCTCAGCTAGATTGAACTATTTCAGGAAACATTTCCGCTCAGAACACTTATCTCTCTGACCAAATTGAATTATCACAGAAAAAATATCCGAGCAGGAAAACCATTATCTCAGCTAGATTGTACTATCTCAAGGGCTTTTTTTTTCGCTCAGAACACTCGTCATAAAAACTGAAAAAGACTCGGTTTCATTTCACTTTCTATTTTCTTCAAACATGATGAGTACCGCTGACGAGAATAGAGCCAAATTTTGGGAGAATATTTCCCAAAAAATAAATCGATATAATCCACCACAACATCTATGGACCAACTTGAACGAGAAGTATGTGTATGAAGTATCAATGTAGTGCAAATAGTCATAAATATTTTTTGTAGCGATTTGGACATTAGTGATCTACCTGAAGATATAACAGTATCTCCTGAATTATGTGAGGAATTTGTTATATCCCAAAAAATCACCCTGCAACACTCAATTTCAACCTTTCGTAAGTAATATACCTTTATTTACTTATTAGCTATCTTCTCTTTGCACTAGATATAACCCTATGTTGCTATTCAATAACTCAATGTAAGTTTCGCAATTGCTTTTATTTAATTGTATAATTCTTTTCTCTTCATTTAGAGTTAATACGATGCTACCAACACATCATCCGCTTGTTACAAACAATACTAAACTATTTGTAAACTGTTGTAAATTGTACTGCGAATGGAGTATTAACCAGAATAGTGGTATGCATGATCTATCAAATTGTCAATATGATGAGCCGAAGTTTATATCATTTGTAAGTGTTTTTCAATTAAACTTCAATCAACATACAGTTCAAAACCCCTTCTCGAATCAATTAACATGCTCAGAGTTCAAAAACCCCTTCTCAAATATTCTGTACACTCTGTATATATTCTAAATATTTGTTTTTACTTACAGTTTGCAGGACAACCCACAATCGCACTCGACAATAACAACATTGATGAACATCGCCAATACCTCACAAATACCACATGTTTCTTTTAGTTCTACTTAGCGTACAATATATACTCATACTTGTTTTAATTTTTCACAGTTTTCATGCACTGTAATCATTTAATAAAGTATCCACATGAATTGTGTTCATTCACTGAAAGGTTGCTTCGAAAACATTTGTAATCAGTTCAAAAACCGCAGAATTATTATCTGGCTGTTCACACTTATTTATGAATGTATTTAAATGAAATATTTATTCTTATACCGAGTGAATTAATTGAAATAATAGTAGAGTGATTTTGGGCAATTTTTTATACAGAGTGGATCAAGTTCTTAATGCTATAATATATTTTGGGATTTTGATAGTTACAATAGCACGATTCAATATTTGAAATGGTCGAATAATTTTGACAGTTATTTTTTCGAAATTTGAACATTTATACAGAGTGGATTGAATTGAGGTTATGATTTATTTTCGATGGTTTGATACCTGAAATGATAGTTTAATTTTTAGTTATTTTTGTAAATTTGAGAATTTATACAGAGTGGATCAAATTGAGGTTATAAAATGTTTTCGATGGTTTAATATATGAAATGGAAGAGTAATTTTATCAATTATTCCAAATTTGAACCATTTTATATGTAGGGTGGATTAAGTTTTGATACAAAATATTCAGTCAAATCTTGGGTCCAAATTGTGGACCAATTCCCAAATCAAGGACTATATTCAAATTGAGGTCCAAAATCAAGGACCCGTACCTAAATCGAGGACCTGTGCCTAAAGATGATAGCGCATGTGAGATGTTAGTAGACGGATGACATTGACAACATAATGTATCAGGTTTTTTTTGCCATTTTTTTTCTATAATGCTGAATACGGTAGACATTTTTTTCGATTATTAAACTTCATCATCATTATTATTTCACATTCGTGATCGAATATTCGTTTTCACCGAACGCTTCTTGCGGTTACTGATAAACACGGTGATTGAAAGTCAACAATCCAAACGAAACTCATGCCCAAGGGTGCCCTAATGTAGAGCGCGAGGCCCCTCGAGTTGATACCCCAATACGGAGCGCAAGGACCTCCACGAGACGATACCTCAGGGAGCCCCAATACGGAGCTGGCTAGTGCGGGGACAATTTGGAGCGCTCTGATTGGTCGACAGAGCAAAAATTATCAGAATGAACCTCCATAAGAAATAATACGCGATTTTAAAAAACTCATCCTCTCGCTCTAACACGCACCTACAAATAACTACAAGAAATATTATTCAACTAAATATCGTACCAGTTATTTTCAATTACCTCTCTCCTTCTAATCGTGAATCCCGAAGATTGATGACCGAGGATCCCCGAGGTTCCCCAATGACATCGAAACTCCATCACTATCATCAGTTCGCTATTGCTTTTAATATTCCACGTTGGCTTTGAGGTTAGAGACGAAGTCTATCACGCCAACGATCTGGGTTCGAATCTCATAACTATGAACTTTTTTTAATTAGAATCACGTGACACGGGGGGCCGAGGGGTGGAGTATCAAGGGGACCATGGGAGCGGGGTCTTAAGGGGGGCCAAGGGATAGGGTACTAAGGGGTGGAGTACTAAGGGGGGCCGAGAGGTGGAGTACTAAGGGAGGGACAGGGGGGTGGAGTACTAAGGGAGGCCGAGGGGTGGAGTACTAAGGGGGGCCTAAGGGTGGAGTACTAACGGGGTTTACGCTTGAATCGCTACGATAATCATTCCATCTTGCGTCGATGACGTCACACTTTTCTGCTCGATTCTTCGTCGTACGCGTGACCTTGACATGAACCAAAAATTGCAGAATGGACCTTAGCAATTTCCCATGTGAATCTTCATAAGGATTGGGCTAGAACTCTTGCTGCATAATTACTTACCACCTTTTTTTCCCGAGAAGCATTTCAAAACAGACATAAATCAACCCGAATGGATGACAAGTAAAGGTTATGTTTTGAAAATTCATTTATTTTGTGATAAATGCTATAATTATTCAAGTTACTGAAGAGACAAAGTTCACTGCCAGAGATAGTGAAAATAGGAAAGTTTAAGAAGAATTGGAATAAAAAAATAATAATATTGATTATCTGTGATGGCATTACCACATATAATACAGATTTGTTGACAATCCCTTCCGTTCCTTTTTAAATCTAAAATTCCTGATATCTAAAAAGGTAAACTAAAACCGTAACAACACCACCTTTCCCAAGAAAAAAGTTTCTTTGAAACTTTCAACGGAAAAACCTATCAATCACTTGAAGTAATAATCATAAAAAAATAATTCATGTCCTCTTCTGGTGGATGAGCCTTGATATCCTTGGAAATCCATATGCCTACAGACTTATGGTTTTCGTCCTCATCATAACACCACGGAAAAAACCATTCTTATTATTTTGAAGGGTCCGGAAAATCTGTTTGCCAATTTTGCCATAATTTCGTTTCCATACCTTTTGATTCAATTGGAATTTTCCATTGCGATGTCTCAAATTATAAAGTCTACAAGTTTTATTATAGGCGTTAAGAAGTCTTTTCTGGACATCCACAAAGAGTTATTTGAGTATTTCATTGCGCTCAGTTTGGTTCACCGTCGAGTTTGCAACTTTCGTCGCCACGTCTAGAATAACTTCTCTTCCAAAGTTGATGGAATTAGGAGTTATACCCTTTATCTTATGCTCCGCAGATGTAATAGCGAAAGCGATTCTGCCAAGATATTTTTCCCACTGTTTATGATTTTCCGATATGTATGATGTCAGCATCGTTTTAATCACTCCCAAAGTGTCCTTCAAGTATTTCGTAGGGTCGGAGGTTGGATCGCCCTATCAGTATATGAGAGGTCATAACTTGACAGCGGCTCAAAATATTATCTGTTATTCATTGAACCTTCGAATATCACGGTGGGATGATGATCATAAGAGTTATTTTGAAAAGTTTCAATATTTTTCATAAGCCAAAAATCAATTATTTGAAAAGAGGGGAAAAATGACCATTCAACAATTATTTTCACATAATATGGTTCAAATTATTCGTAAAAATTTAAATCCTAAGAGCATGTTACTTGAATCAAATATAAAATCAGATCGAAATTCGAAGGTAGCAAATATATCCTTGGACTATATTTTTTCAGCTTAACCTACAATTGCCATTTCGAAAATGGTGAAACTTACAGGGTTGGTTGAATAAAATATAAGACCGAAAACTCTCTGGGATCGCAACTATTGATAACTGTTTTTTGAATATTCGCAAAAAAAATGCTGGATTTCATTTATTGGTTTTACTGCCTCATTTCAAAGAGAATATGAATGAGGTATAATATTTGTATGAGTTGTTTCATGTTTCTCAATGCGACGATTCATTCATTGGGTTCTATCAAGTTTAGTAGTACTTTCATAACAATTTTAGCCATATATCACAACACATCGTCAATGTTAGGTCATACGGATGTCTCAAACAAGTAGCCACCAATATTTTCCGTACGTGGAAACATACATTGAATGTATAAAATTTTTACTGTCTGGTCATTCATTTTCACCAAACGATTCACATTTTGGTGATGTAGAATGTGCATTAAAAAGCCGTCAAAGAGTTCACACATATTAAGATTATTTTGATGTCATCAAGATATGCAGAAACAAAAATAAATTTATGGTGAAAAAAATGACAAATGAGGAGATGGTTTCAGTAATAAATTTACAAAAAGCAATAACAAACAGAAAAGTTGATATTGATAAAGAAGCAATAAGTTGGTTGAAAACTCACGAAATACTTCTAAAGAAAGATCAGCCGATAGTTTTGTTCATGAAAAGTCATACAACAGACGAAGCTTACACCCAAGTGAACATAGAGAAAAAAACAAAAGGTCGCAAACCTATAATGAAAGAAGTGAAGCTTCCATTACTGTGGCCAGATGGCAAACCTTCAACCACAAAAAAATCGAAGATTTGAAAGATACCATGGAGCTAATTCGTAAGGATGCTGAAACCTTTCAAAACTTTCTGAAGTCAAATCTAGGGCAAGAATTTGAAGAGGATGTAAGAGGGCTCGGAAACAACTTGTATTTCGAAATATATGATCGTTTCCTAGGAGATTAGTCATTTTAGTTGTTATGAAAGGTGATTTTGGGTAATTTCTCATACATGGTTCATTTTCGTTTAATTTCGAGTGTTGGGGATACTAGTTATCAAAAATGATCTAAACCGCTTCTGATGATTGTTTTTGTCAAATTTAGCAGTTTTTGTTCATGAAATACTCAAGTTTACTTTTGTTGCTGATCAACTTAATTTGAATATATACTTGGATATTGTTTGCAAACCATTTTTTTCTTGTCTTGAGCTTTGAACTCGATCATTTCAGAAATTGTTTACTGTGAGTTAGACGATTTTTGCATAACAGTGTCCATTTACCATAATCTTTTGGAAACTTTTAGCTTGAAACACATGCATTGCTTTGAGTTTTTGTTCAAAAACAAATTAAATATAAATTTTTCCATATACAGGGTGTCCCTGGACTTCCTCTTTTCCTCTCGGGAATGTATAGATGGGGTCAAAATATCACCAGTACTTCATATAACTTTTTTTCCTAAAAGTCTTCGTAACCAAGTTACGGGCCCTCGAAGTTACAAAATGAAAAATGTTTTTCTTTGATAACTTTTCAAGTGAATATTCAAAATCATCCAAATTTTGGTAATTGACTAAACAAATGAATTCC